GGGCGTCATCATCCTTTGTCCATTTGGTCACATTACGTGCCAATGCATTGATGGATCTCAAAAGGTCAAACCGCGCAATGCGGGCTGCATACAACAGCTTCATAAGCACACTAGCTGCATGCGGAGCTAGATTCCCTCGGCTCAGTGTCTCACTGTCTTGGCCAGGACGTGAGTTGCCAGTCTCGGAGCGAACAGGCATCTCTGGATCGAAGGAATGTGCACACCAAGGACACTCAACTTTGCGTTTTCCATCGGAAGGAGCTCGATATGGGCTGCTTTTCGTTTCCTCTGGAAGGCTTGGAGTTGATACCTTTTTCAATTTTGTGTCCTTGCCAATGATGTCAAGATACTTTTCCACCGATAACTTTAACAATCCTTCCATGTTATAAGTTATGGTCTTGACTTTCTTACCATTATGTAACTGGGTTTCACCTTGGGATAAAACACATCCTAAGTAAAGTCCCAGGTCGGTTTCGGGTTCAATGCGCAATACAGTTCGCAACATTTCCCAACCTTTGGCCAGATTTTCGGAGGGCCCAGCAAGCTTAAGATCATCCACATAGATTACCAACAGCAATTTGAGCTCATCATGAAAATACATAGAAGGCCATTCCTCTCCAATGGGTTTAAAACCAATTTCTTGGACTTTCTTGTCACAATGTTGTTCCCACATCGTGCCTGAGTCAGGATGTCCATACAAGGCTTTGTCGAGTCTTACAACAGGGCGACGAAACTTCCAGTACTGTATCTCAGGAGGCCATGCATCGGTGGGTAATTCCACCCAACACAAAGGCCCCTTCAACTTGGCCTGGATGTATGCCTGAATCGCATCTGCCAGCTTGACTGAGTGTCCGGGAAGACATCCGTAGAAATCAGCCCATCGTGAGGCTTCGAAGGAAGCAGGGGAATTTCCCAAATCTTGAAAGAATGCTGCCTCCCAATGTTGATTCTTCACCTGGCTGCCTAGTAGAACGCCTCTTCCCTTGAACTTTCGACCAGGATTGTCCTCGGACAATTGATAATTCCTTTCGACACATATGCCATGGACTCTGGCCATATGAACTTCTTTCTTGTTCTTCTTGGCCTCTGCGACAACATCATCATATTCACGAACCATTGTAAAGTCGAATACTTCTTGATCACGAAGACCTTTCCACTCCTTCAGCATTGCTTCTTTGGCCTTTGGATTGGACTCAATTTCAGCTCTGCCAACAGGTCGTGAAACCATGGCATTGAAGAGCTTACTTCCAAGGCCTCCAGGTGATATCTTGGTTCGATGACTTTGATTGGACGCAGATGTACACGGCATAGTTGGGAATGCAATGTATTCATCATCATCAGTGGCTATGTTCTTCACGTCCTTGACACTAACACACTTGCCATTCTTGATCATTGTCGATTCGCCTGGCGTAGCCAAGGAGAATCTCGAAATCTCACCTGACAATGTGCTCCAAACTTCACCACTCCACGATGCTTTTGGGCCACGTCCTTTCTCGACCTCCGACCATTCATCCCATTCGGTGAGATATTCCTCATCGTCCGGGACGTCAGTAGAAGTATCGGAACATGGACTAGCATCAGCATTCCTCTTCACTTTTCGACAATCAATGTATCGTTTTCCATGGACATCGTCATCATCGACTATGTCGTACAGGTCAAGGTATCTACTTGTACATGTGATAGGTAACGTGACTTTGTTCTTCACTATTTCACCAACACCTGCATCGGATTTCTTTGACTTTGAATGAGAATCATCCTTCTTACTTTCATCACCTCCTTCATCGCCCTTGGACTTCGGCTCGTCCTTGTCTTTCTTTGAATCTTTCTTCTCCTTCTTCAATGCTTTCTTCTTCTTTTCTTCAACCAATCTTTTGGCTTTGTCATCAGCCTCTTTCTTCTCCAACTTCTTCTTCTCGGATTTGAGGATGGTGTTCCGGTCAGATTGAGAGAGTTTGCGCCATTCTTCAGGAGAGTAGGTCTCTTTGGGACGCAATGACGTTTTGAACATTCGTCTACCGTCATCTCCAATCTTGTATGGATAACCCTTGACGTTCAACTTGACCTTCTCACCATCATCGTTGAGGTATACCTTCCCATCTCCAGCTTTGCCCGACTTCCAATGATCCGGTTGGGCGTCGATGAGTTCCTGGAGAGTCATCTCTTCTAGATCTTTATCCTTGTCGAAGATATCCTCTGAGTCGTCAAGAGGCTTCTTTGAAACTTTTCCACCACTTGGTCCAGGTCCACCGTCATCTCTGTCATCAAGCTCATCATCGTCTTCGTCATTGTCTTGTTCTTCATCATCTCCATGAGACACTCTGGAAGGATCGCCATCGAGGAGTTCTCTCTCTTTCATTCCTTCCAAGGTAGTGTTCACCCTCTCATACTCTTGCTTGCATGGAAATGTCAATGGAGTAACCATCTCGACCTTTTCAGTCAAATGAGGTTTGAGAAGACGGTGTTCAGGTTTGCTAGCATCGTCACCAAGATTCTGATGTACGAATTCACTCAGAGGCCATACTTTGTATTGTCTTGACCAATGCATCCCTGGACCAATGTGATATCCTGCAAACACTCCTGGAATAGAGTCAGGTCCAAACTTATGAAGTTGTCCTGCTTCTCTGGTCTTCGGAGGTTTGTAGTTCACACGAGCACCATAGGGAATGAGTTTGCCAGCAAAATCAGATCCGTGGAGTTTGCACCAAGCACTCAATTCATCATCGTTGGGTTCCACGTTGAGTAGATGACATACACAAAGGATTGCTGTTCTCCAGAAACAAGGTGGTAATCCAGCTTCCAACAGACATGTAGAAGTAGCTGTGAGGATAAATTGGTTTGTCCTTTCGGCGATTGAATTGGTTTGAGGTCTCCCAGGCAACGAATGATCAATTGGGATCTTCATCTCATTCATAGCTTCAATGAATTGAGGAGCATGATCAGAGTAGGCCTGTCTGACCTTCTTGGCGCCGATGAACTGTTTCACTGCTCTGACTACATCGTCTTTGGCCATCCTGTCAGATGGATAAGCACCAATGATTCCTGTAAAACAGTCTCTGACAACCAGCACTTCCTTCTCGAGGACCAATACGTCATCATGGACTTTGGATGTGTCCACTGCATCAAAGGTAATGAGGTCGCCAAACTTCTTGAGTTCCCTTTTGTATGCACCACGACGAGTCTTGAAGTGTTTCATCTTTGCACGGATGCATGAGTCGCAATATGGATTCTTATATCTGTGGGTCAATTTGTGATTCAAGCTCTTAGCTTCTCACTTGAGTGTTCCCCTCTTGGCTACCCTGGATTCACCTTCGACAACATCGATCTCAATGTCATCTTCATCACCTTCAGCGGCGTCTTCAGGAGCACCATGACCATCATCTTCAAAGTCGGTCTCATCACCGGGAGGTCCGTCATACGGAGTTCCAGGTTCATATTCGCCGTCTTCAGGTGGTTCTTCTTCTTCTCCAGGAGTTGCCGCATGTTTTTGCCGGTTCGTTGCTCTTCTCTTCTTCTTTTTGAGCTTCTTGACGTGTCGGGAACACTTGTGATCCTCAGCCAATGTCTCAAGACCACTTTCTCCATCGAGATAGATTCTTCGTGAGGGTTGACCTACATCATTCATGTCATTGAGTTCACTGAATTCATCTTGAGCATGTACCAGTAGGTCATTGATCTTCGATGCATGATGGCATTCACGAGGAGTGCATTCGCATGTTCCAAGATCAACATAGGGGATGTTGTCATGGATTGTCAGATCGATGCGTTCTCCATCCTTCGTAATCATGAAAGGCATCTTACCTGATGGCCATACAAAGGAGTATCCCTCTTCCATGCATCGTTTCCCAAGAGACATCACAGACGGAGTGTCGTCCAATACATAAGCATGGGATGTCATATCAAAGGTCCCCAGGTCAATCTCCGCTTCCGTTTGAGTAGCAGTTGAACCATTGGCGGTGTGGAACATGATAGGATCACAAGTTCGTTGCTTCATGCTCATCCTTTCGACTTTCCTTGCGGAGACCAGGTCGTGTCCGCTGCCAGAATCCAGGATGAATCTACGATCTTTGGCTTGTACTGGTAATGAAATGCACATCATATTCTTGGACTTCATGAGGGATTTTCCAACTTCATGTTCAACAAGTTCTTCAACGAAAGTCAAGTCCTCATGATCATCGTCCAGCTTGATCAACATGTCGAACTTGGGGCCAATGATGATTCTAACTTCATCAACGAAACGATGGATCCCGTATCTATCCATGATGATAGCCTTGGCCCGTGCTCGGACTGAACCGAGGGTGTTGTCGGACTTGGACTGGTCATCAGTCAAATCATCGATCTTCCAGAAGACATATTGCTTGTTGGGGTCACGATAAATACTCTTGGGTAATCCCTCCTGGTAGTTCTCAATGACAACCTCGTGCACTTCAGGTTCCAGTTCAAATGAGATCCTGCGAACATCAGAAGACTTCTTTGCGCTGGCTATCCTCGGTGAGGTATAATCCATGGCGTCTTCATTGTCGCTATCAAAGAAGGAATCAATGGTAATGGGAGTTGCTTTCTTCTTTGGTGTCTTCTTGCTGGTCTTTTCTGATGATGCTGAAGGCGATTGTCCTGCATGTAGGAATTTACATTTGCTTCCGAACGTGCAGGTACCCTTTTGCCAATTCCAACATATCTTCTTTTTGGATCCAGCCGAAGATGAACTTCCTCTACTTTTCCCTCTTGATGAGTCTCGACTTCCGCTTCTACCTTTCTTACCTTTCATCTTGGCATCATAGACCTTTTGAGAATGACTGTAAAGACATTTGTCACCTTTGTTGCATCCTCCCTTGTTGAAGAAGTAATTGCAGAAAATCTTCTTCTTGTCAACGGGTGAAGATGATCCTTCCCACCTTTGCCTTTCTTGTTGTTCTTGTCGGCATGTGATTTCGGAGAAGGTGTTGGGAGTACTGATGCGGCTTCACTCTTCGCCTTTGCTTTAGGTCGCTTGGGAGGATCACCTGTAGACGATGCAGCTGCTTCGTTCTCCTTCTTGGTCTTGATGGGAACGGCAGGCTTGTCTGCATCTTCCGGAGCAGGTGTTGTCTTGTTGGAGGACAATGACAGTTTTACTGCACGTTCTCTATCCCTCAACAGTCGTTCTTGCTTTCCTCGTGCTATGTAGCCTTTGATCATACCGATCAGGAATTCATAGGTCTTTTCAGGATGCCCTTCATCATAGGTACGGTATCGGCTGATATCAAAAGACATAAGCTTTGAATGTTCAATCTTCCGGAACAATGTGTCACGCAGGGAATTTGCAGAAGGCAGATCATCATGTTTCATGTTGTATATGATATCAAGCCACTTGTTGTAGAAGGCCTCAAGTTGGTCATCTCCATAGTAGTTGAACATGTATAAATGATGGGCGTTGTAGAGAACTTCAGTATGGTCAGGTGACTTGAAGCTAATCAAGACCATTGCGAATAGTTCTCGTCCCTTGATGAAGTCCCCACTCCTCCCATACATTTGGTTCTTCATGGACATGTCATACTTCACTTGCATAGACTTGTCCCCAGCATTGTCAATGACTTTCCTCAAGGCATTGGAGAGCTTGGCATCAATGGATTGGAATCTCACATCGGGTGCTTTGGCCAGAGCTTCCAAGTCCGGTTGGTCCGCAAGACACGGAGCTAGCCATGCTTTCCAATCTTCATAGTTTCGATCCCCACTTGCAACACAAACTTCATGAACGACACTTCCCTTCCAGGATGAAAGTTCAGTGGTCTTGGGCCAAGGTTGGAGATTGATCTTTTCGGCTTCCCTTAGAGATACGGACGACTTAGATCTATCCTTCTCAAGGTTCTCCAACTCTTTGACTTTGGTGTTGTACTCGTTCCTTAGCCTCTCGAAGGCTTCAGCTTCTGCTCGATATTCCTGCTCTTCATCGTTGGCACGATCTTCAGCTTGAGAGAAGTTGTTCTTGTAGTAATCTTTCCGATCTTCCATCTTCCTTAAGTCATCTTGAAGACTTCGAACTTCAGCGTTCCTCTCTTGCTTCATCTCGTCCAACTCTGCTTTCAATTTGGCACACTTCTCTTCACATTCATTTCGAGGCATGGCATTACTGGGGTACCCAAGTAACGTAGCCGGTCTGTTCAATGATGAAGACGAAGCAGCTTGGTTTTCTAGCTTCAGGGCAGCGATGGTGCTCGACATTTCTTCTACTTCGGCTAAACGTTCACTAGCCAATTGATGCATCTCAGTCAAGTGGCTCTCAGGAATGGAATAGTCAGTCGCACCTTTGATCACGAGTCTCCTATCGTTTAACATCTTGATGGAGCGGCCTGCCTTCCTGTGAGCACGCTCAAGAGAATCCTTTTGGGCTTCAATTTCAGTATGAAGGCGAGCAATAGCTGTATCCCTGTCACTGATTTCATTGTGCAAATCGTCGAACAAGTTACTCGTCACATTCGGATTGTTACTCATGTGATCGATCTTGTCCAGAGCATCTTGATATTTCTTACCAGTTTCATCAAAATGTTTCTGGAATGTCTTGAGCAGGTTCTCAGTCTCAATGAGTTCAGCCCTGTTTTGTAAGTACAACTTGTCAACTTCAGCCTTGGATTCCTTCAGACTGTCACGTTCACGTACAGCTTGCATGTACATCTCATGTTGTAATCCTCCATGCGGTGATCTGCTTGGCGAGGATCTTCTGGCTTGTTGACAGGAAAGTTCATGATACTGATTCTTCGATTCAGTCAGTTGATGTTGCATTCGATCTAAAAGGCTTTGTTTCATGTGCAGTTCCGAACGTAGTCCCATTATCCTCATGTCCCGCATGCCACTTGATTCAGCTAGAGATTCTTCAGAAACCTTGCTCTCAGAAGTCACTAGTCGAGATTGTAAGTTTTCATTGTGAATCACCTGCAGTCGAAGTTGTGATTCCTCCAAAGCTAAATGATGTTCACATTCTGCATAACGGTCATGTTCAGATCTTATGTTACTACGGAACTCCTTCATGATCTCATCCCTCTTCACGTCAGCAGCATCGAGCTCAGTTTCCAGTCGTCTAACGTTCATAGACATGGTGTGCTTCATCGTCTGGTTCTGATTGGCAACCTCGAGCATCTCGATCTGTAGAGCACACGTCTGGTCGTTAGCATAGCCGACTGCCAGAGCTTCTTGCTTCGCGTTCATCTCTGCGTTTTCTAATTCCAGTCTGAGTTGATTGATGTGAGCATTCGCATCAGCGCCCACATGTACCATAATTGCATTCGCCTGTCCCATTTGTTCATTGAATTCCGAACGTAGTTGAGAATATCTAAATTCCAAATGAGATGCAGCTTCATTCGACATAGTCTGATACCTTTCCAACTCTTCGATCCTGTAGGTTGCACCTTCGTCTTCTTGTTGTGCAGCCTGTAACTCAAAGTTCAGCATCTGGAGTTGTTCAGTCATCGACATCATCTCTTGATGAGCGGTGCTTTCCAGGAAATTAAATTAGTGATAGGCATATGCAGCCGTCTCAGTCAATCTTGCCTGAAGTACGGATTCTTCTTCAGTAGCCCTTTCCAGTGATGTCTTGTATTCAGCTAATTCGCTCTGATAGGCAGTGAAGATGTCGCTACCACTTGATGGGGCATTCACTCGTTGATAAGATCCTGTCCCTGATGGTGTAGCGTCCTGAATCGGTGAAGGCGGATTCGATGATGTAGGCTTTGCCTTAGTCCTTGGAGTCATCGGAGGCGACGATTGTCGTGCAGATGATCTTCTCTTTCCAGGTGTGCTGTCCCTATCTTCAATCGCTTGCATTGTCGAAATTTGTCTCCCTCCAGGAGCAACCAGAGGTCGTCTGGGTAGGCTTGGTCTCAGTTCTGAGGTTTCGCTTCCACCAGTGTCAATACTCTGTGAAGAATTTGACTGCGTGCCGGCAGCTGGTGCAACGGCATGTCCAGAGAAAGAAAATGCGTTATCGCTGCTATCCTGTTCAGTCATCTGTAAGGTCCGCGGCTACCCGCTCGTAGGCTCCGTAGGAGACCTACGGCTGATAACCTGTGAATCGGAGATTCTCTCCGATATGTTCCTCTTGATAGTGCTGGGTTGATGTTCTTGCACTCAAGCTAAACGGGGTCGCAGTTTCGGCATGAACTTCTTTTCTCGCGGATCGGCAGTTGGGGTGACTTGAGCCAAAAGGTTTTGCGGTTGACCCTTTGGCTGGAATGATACTAGGCTATTTACATGGGGATATTATTGTACACTGTGGTATAGTCCCCATTCGCAATGTATGTATGTATGTATGTATGTATGTATGTATGTATGTATGTATGTATGCGCCTGTATTTACAATTGAATGCCTGTCCTGTCTTATGTGTATGTATATATATATACACACGATATGTTAAATTACATTCTCTTCCGATGGATCTGTAGCAAGTCACCCGCAGCTTTTCGATTTCCTCGCGGATTCGGCCTCAGAAAGGAGCTGTGCAAGGCAAACAAAAAGTCATGGGTTGATTGGAAGGTTTACAGGAAAACCCGACATTTGAGGAGTAAAAATGATGGGTAAAAAAATTGTGAAAAATGGTAAAACATGTAAAAGTAAAGTAAAACCACATAAATTTGGCATGGAAATCGAATTGACGGGGTTGTAAAGGGATGCAAGAGCCATAATCTCCCGTAAATTCTTCCTTAGATCAATTCAGATCGAGATATGCACTTGAGGATAAACAACGACCTGTTTTTGCGCAGTATGACATCTTTATGGCATTTTCAGGGGCCCATCGTTGGGGGTCCCATCATTCAGGGGTCTTTTGGCGATTGAATTCCGGGTTCCACCTTCTTCCCATGTGGCTGAAGCCATTCGATCGTAAAGAGTCTAGCATTTTTAGCCGCACCCGTGTCTGGTTGGTGGTCTCAAACAAATCTCAGGAAACTCGTTTTTTGTCAATTGGGATCATCATCCCCGCGTATGGTTGGGGAAAATCGATATGAAGCAACCAAGCATAGCCATAGCCCATCATCATCGGCCGATCTGATCCACCCCTGAAGACTAAGATGGAAGCCAAACATAGCCACGTGAAAATCATCAGACCCCCAATTTTTTTTGGAGGGTTCTCCAAGTCAGTTGCACTCCCCTAAATAGGGGGGTGAAAGATTACTTTCCACTAAAAACTGTCCGACTTTTTCAGGGTTTAGGGTTTAGGGTAGAAGGATAAAAATTCGAGCCCCTCGCGCCTTCATCTCTCTCCAGTTTGTGTTGGATGTTCTCGATCTCCTCAACTGAGCATCCCTCCTCCAAGCAGCCTGCGATGGCGAAGCATGGCGAAGCCATGGTCGCTGTTGTGCCAAGATGTTATTTTTCAGAGGCTACAGCATTTGATGAGAAGTTGTGAGAGGCTCAACAGTTTACTATTGGATTCTTTGACTAAGAAACCATCGTTCTGAATTAGTTGTTGGTTCCACAACCTTCGACTGGTTCCGTCGCTTCTTGACATCATACCAAGACCTGCTGATGGCAGTCCACCAATCTAGCGGTCGAGATACAGCCTGGTCTTGGGGTGGCTTGGATCCATCCCAGCCCCAAAAGTCCAAAAGTCGCTCCCTTTTTGGGTCCAGGTCAGTGGTTTCAAGGGAAAGATGAATGAAAACCCTGTGTTTTTTGGGCGGAAGGCCTCTACCCCCAGTTTCTCTTCCCGCCGACCTTCAGCCTCTTCCTCAACAAAGTGGGTCACCTGCTTCCAATGGACTGGTTGGGGAAGAACTGCTGCTTTTTGAGAAAAATCACAAGGTCTTCCAACATGGAAAAAGCACAAGAATTGCAATGTCAGCCATGAAGAACATGTTTTTAGGCATCGAAGCTCGCCGGCTTCCCCTTCGCAACGCATTCCGGCGCCGTGCACCTCCGGAAGTTCCAAATGTCGCTCCTCGGATGCCACATTCTTCATGGGCACCTGGGCACCGGGCTGGGGCTGCGAAACCTGAAGAATGGCTGAAGGACTTGTTGTTAATTTTGCAGCGAAACACTTTTTTCATGACTTGTTCTCACCAGGAAACTGGGGACTTCAAATGGCAGTGCACTTGGATTTATGAAAATATTGATCTGAAAAACCCAAAGGTGATAGCGCCCCAAACTCCAAAGGACTCGAGACTGACCGGACTGAGGAGGGGACTCGATGCACTGAGCGTGGAGGCCTGGGTGCTACTGGGTCCAGCTACACAACTGGACCACCAAGTGGTGGATGGCACAATGTGGGCTCAAATACATGGGTTAGTCACCAGTTAGTCTGATAGGGTACCAATTCCAATGGATCATGGATGATCATGGATTCCCAATGAACAAATTGCCATTTCAGGGGATATCCCCTATGTTCAGAGCCACAATAGGCCATGAAGTGATTCCCAATTTTGGCCAGGCATTACATCTTCTATTTTTTGTTGGATTGCTGGTTTTGTTTACACCAGGTGGTTTCAGGGCACATTCGAAGACCCCTCCAAAACCAGGCTTAAATCCTCATATTTCCTAATTTTTCTCGATACATGGCTGAGCATTGTAAAATTATGATGGGATGTTTTTACAATGAACATCTTTTTCAGTAGCTTCATTTGAGCAGAGTTTGAGACCCTCGTCCACTGCCGCGTGAATAGCCCAAATTGTACTTGTTCGAGTCGTATACTCCCATATGTATATATATATATACATATATATATATATACATATATATATACATACATATATATATATATACATATATATATATATACATATATATATACATATATATATACATATATATATATATTATTATCTTATATTGTATTATATTATATTATAATATAATATATTATATTATCATATCATATCAAATCATATTATATTATATTATATTATAATATATTATATTATATTATATCATAACATATCATATCATATTATATTATATCATATTATATCATAACATATCATATTATATTATATTATATATGATATTATATTATATTATATTTTATATGATATTATATTATATTACATTATATTTCATTTTATAATAGTATATCATATTATATTATATTTATATTATATTATATATATTATATATATTATATATATTATATATATTATATATATTATATATATTATATATATTATATATATTATATATATTATATATATTATATTATATTATATTATATTATAGTTAGGGTAGGCCTTGCCCATCTTCCTATCATCACATAACCCTGCACCCCCCCTACACTTTCACCATCATTTCATAACAATCTCATAAAGACCATCATTCAAAAACATCATTCAACCAAGATTTCAAAACAACATCTCAAAACAAACCTTCCAACCCATCATTCAACAAAAAATTCAAAACAACATCTCAAAAACATCATTCAAAAATAAATTTCAAAACAGTCTCAACAATAACCATAACACAAATCATTTTGAAGATGTAAGCCAACATAGTAATCTTCAAAAGGATTTTCAACAAGTAACCTACATAACCAAAATTCATCATCCAACAAAACAGGGGCAAGGTCCTCTTCATAGAAAACAATATTTTAAAAAAAAAAAACATAAAATAGTTGGGCAAGGTCGCCCTTATTCAAAAACTTATACAACAAAAATTACAAAACACCGACCCACCCAACACCAAACCCGCAATACACAAAGCACCTCCCAAGACAAATACAATAATCCAAAAAACATAACCCAAAACCATAAGAACCTCCCAACCCCATAACCTTGTCCATTCTATAACCAATATCCTAATGAGGTGTGGGGTAAGACCCTAATAGAAAAACCAAAAAAAAAACATAACCCCGAACTGGGGGATGTCGGACTTTCCTCATTTTGGTCACGAGCGCGCTGCTCCACTTCACTTCGGAAGGTTCTGTTCAAAGCACACAACCCATTGCTCAATCTTCTCAGCCATCTCTGGCTGTTTCACTGTCTGCACAGTCTTCCACTTATCAAACTGAAACTGCGGAACGACAAAGAAGAATTTGGCTTTGCTGTCATGCTTCTTGCAAAGTGCATCCACAATCTTATACGCCTGCGTCTTCGTCACGTCCATTGCCTTGCCACCGTCATTGAAGGTGATGTCATGTGTATCGGCAATCGTCAGCTGAAAAACGCCCTGTGAGGTCCATGAGTCAAAGGCAGGAAAGTTTTTGCTCTGCGGCTGGTAGTATTCGCCATCCTTGATGTCTGCTGCGGGATTGCCCGAAATCAGCACTCCTGCAAGACCACCTTGGAGTTCCTGTGTTGTGTCAGACCCCTTCCCGTCAGCTGTCAAGCATCTGGCTCGGAGCTTGAACTTGCCGATGGACTTGTCCTGCATGAACTGGTGGAACTCTTCCTCAAACAATGCAAAACCGATGCCCGTAATCATCCCATCATCAATACGATCCCAAAGAGCTTGGGCTCGTTTTGCTCTGTTTCGCTTCACCAGCTCTTGCCGAACATAGGGAGACGACAACTGCACATCAAACCAGCTGAAGTTTGGCCATGGCATCATCTTCACCAGCAAGTGCGTCCTCTTGCTTATGGCTTTCATGTCAGACGATACTTTAAGGCATTGCATCGCATCTGCTGACTGCACGGCCTCTACGAGCCTTCTTCGGTCGACGCCTGCCCTTGTCTCGTCCCTCTCCAAAACAAGCCTCGCAGTGCCACCAAAGATGCCGAAGCGTTCCTTGACAACCTCCTCATTCAGCTTGTGTAAGGCCATGACCTCTGCACTCAGCATCTCCGTCAGCGTCCATGGTGGCATAAAGAACTGCCCAGAAAAGCGCTCGGCTTGCTTGAAATGTTCCGTGTTGGAAGCCGCTGTAACGGGCCTCCGCGCAGAGGTAATCCACAAAGACTGGCAAAAGACCCCATGCTTCACATCAATGTCGGCATACATGATATACAAAGCTTGTGCAGGGGCTGAATACAAAGTATCGGCATCGACCTTCTTTGGCTCTTCGCCCTTCTTAAACCGATGGATGACGTTGTCGCGGTGCAGAAAAACTGGGAAGTCTTTAAGTTCACTGTCTTGGAAGCGACGCCAGATTAAATATACCATAAAATTGGACTTGCCGATCCCAGACGAGCCCAGCAAAGACATCCTATGAGGTTTTTTCTTCAACATGATGTCGGCAATCTCTTTGTAGCAGTCCCGCACGTAGAACTGCTTTTCGTCCCAAATTTCAGAGTCCTGTTCTAACTTGAAACTGCCCGTTTCCGTTCTGAGAATTTGCCCTTCCAGCTCTGCATCATCCAAAGCTCGTGCGAAGGCCTTGACATTCTCGGGAACATCGCTCTGAACCTGAAAATCAGCAAAGCAGCCACAGAAACATAAACGCTGTCTCACATCAGCGAGAAACAAAACACAACGAACTCGGGCAACAACTGAAACCAATCTTTGCCGAGAAACGGGTTGTGGTTGGGTAATGCCCTTCTGAATGCGGTTGGACAGACCCATTGCTACTGGTCGCACAACGCTCTCGTCGATCTGGGCTTCTGTCAAAACGAGTGCTATGTTTTCATACGACATTTCCGTCAGCACCTTTCTTGGAAAAACGGACAGTGCATTTACCACCTTGTTGGCGATGTCTTCATCATACTCCAAGTCGCATATTTGCTCCCGAATCCAGCTTGGCACCTCATTGTGCTCCACGTCCTTCAACAGCTTTGAAATCGGCGGCAGGGCAGAGAACTGTAAGGTTCGCGCTGCGAAATGCCAAAAGCAGAAGAAATGGCAAAGAAGGACATAGCGCCGAACACGAGCATTGCGCAAGGCAACCATTGCTACAACATAAGTCTTGAAAAGCAACAGCTCGTATTCCCGCAACAGCTCTTACTCCTCCTGACTTTGAATCATGATCTTACTTGAAGCATCAGCGCAGTGCAGTTTGATATTGTTGAGCCTTAACGACAGTGATGGCAAGCACTGGAAGCAACAACACATCAGCATGAACAAGCCTTACACCTTTCACAATTCGTGGCGTAAATAACCCCTCTTATCATCATCTAAATAGTAATAGTCTTGTCCTATTTTCTTGTCAATTTCTTCAAGTTTTGCCAGAACCAGTTTCACCTGTTTAGCGTATTTGTTGAGTTTATCCATCAACTCTTTCATTTCAGTCTTGCTCTCATCTCCACTTGACATTACTATTTATTTATTTATTTAGAAATTAATTTATTTAATTATTTATTTATGAGTTGGAGTTGATAGAAAAACTACTCTTTAAATGGTTTCGTTTCAATCCATTTCAGACATCATCTGTCTTTTGCTGTTCCGTGGTGTATTCATAACATCTTTTATCATATCATTTCTATATCTTTCATCTTCTGTTGGAGGAGTAGTAATTCTATTGAAAGCAAACGAGATGCTGTGGTCTTGACTATCCAATGTAATCCCCCCTTCATCATCCTTACTGACATTCATAGTCTTATCATTTTTAGTCAGTTTGAAACTACACGGATTACAACGACAGGTTATGCCTTTGGGATTAATTTCAATTTCATTTCTTAACTGCAATTTTCCAAAGCACAACGGACAGTCAAAAATAATGTTTTTACTTGTCAGTTTTTGTTCCTCATTCAAATTTATCATTGTCGGCTCGTCATCTGACAGTTCAAAATCCTCTGGAATAGCTTTTCTTGACATTTTTGTTTTTCCTTTCTTAGGCATTTATTAAAGTTAATTAGATAATATTATCTAATTAACTTTGCAACTTCACTTGCACTGACTTTTCCACGCAGAAGAGAGTGGCGGTCTTCTTTTCCAAACTTCAACCGAATTCCAAAAACTAATTAGCTACGTATGAGGGTTAATGCCCTTTTCTCTGTTCCAAAAGTTCCATTAACAAATAATATTATATTTTATTTTCTAACATATTTTATTATATGAAGAAATTAGAACCACCAAAAATTGAACCTATCAATGTCAAGCAATATGAGTTCAAACAGTCTCCATACCCGCAGGCAGATAAACTACCTTTTAGAAGTATTATTGTTAGTGCTTCACAGGGTGGTAAAGGCATCCTTATTCAAAACTTAATTTTGAAAATATACCGTGGTTGCTTTGAACGTATATACATTGTATCACCAACAGCACACATAGATGAAGCCTACAAGGAAGTAATAAAATACATACAAAAAGAACTGAAAATAGATAATAAGAAAGAACAATACTTATTTGATGAATATAACGCAGAAGCATTAGAACACATCATAAACACACAGCATAAAGTGATAGAATACCAGAAGAAAAACAAAATGACTAAATTGTATAGTTGTCTGTTAATTATAGATGACTTCGCAGAAGACAAAACTTTTATGAGATATTCAAAAATCCTCCATGGTCTTTACACCAAATCTAGACATTTTGGATTGTCAGTTATAACTGCTTCACAGAAACTGAATGCGCTTGCAACTATTGTAAGAGTAAATACATCATCACTATATATTTTCAAGTTGAAAAACATAAGAGAAGTTGAAACATTCATTGAAGAACAATCAGCATTAGTTGATAAGAAAACCCTGTATGAAATTTACAAACTTGCTACTGACGACCAACCTTATTCATTTTTGTTTGTAAAATTAAGAGAGAGTGGCATAAATAAAATATTTATGATTAGATTAGAGAAGGAGATACACATCAACTGAATTCATCAGTTGAGATTGGTTGATATATCAACCAGCATTCAATGATATTATGAAATAATAATATCATTAAATTAGACTTGGAGCACAAATGTTAATAGCAGGTAGTTTATAAAATATACGGTCGCTTTTGTTTTCTTCCATTTCCTTTATTCTATTATTCATTTCCTTCAATGCTCTTATTTGAAGCTTATCAACATTACTGATATCTAAATCATTTTCATTTATATTACTCAATTCTCCCATGCAACTATTTTCAACTGATGATTGCTTAGAACCCATTATATTATATTTTTAATCTAGATTATATTTATTCAGCTTTTGATTTTGCTTTTGCTTTTGGCTTCTTCTTTCCTTTCAATTCTTTGATTTCTTCCATCATCTCAAACATTGTCGCTTCTAAATTTTGTATTTTTTGTTGTTGTTCTCTAACCGCGCCCCAAAGCACAGTGTTTAATTTTATATAACTTAACTTCTTAATACCTTCATTATCAGTCATCACTATATTTTGCCATTCATCAGGTATTGCTTCTTTTATTTCATCAGCAATGAACCCGATATGATTTTTAGTTAATCCTAGTTCTTTCTCTTCTTCCATTTTGAAAGTTTTAGGTTCAATTTGTTTCATAATATCAGTAAATTTATGTTCAATACTTTTGATGTCATATTTTTTACTTTTATCCGATGTGTCTACAAGGTTTCCTTCCAAAATATAAGATGGAGGAACTGAAACTTTTGATGGTGTGATATAAAGCCTTATGCCGTTGTTAGCAAAAAATCTTAAATCTCCGTTAGGGTCTTCGTTAATAAAATTTGTATGATTTACACCTGCTATATTTGTTGAAGTGATATAACTGTTTTTACTGGTTTCTTTATGTAAATATATGTTTTTATCTTGATTAATCTCAACATCAGCTTTAATATGTAAATTTTCTGCTATGTGCTCGTATGTCATATATACAATTCCACTTGCTAAACCACCACTTACTGCACCTCTAAAATCTGTATCAGTGTCATCACTTCTATTAGCAACAACATTAGCAAACATCCAATCAGTATTTAAACCAACATTGGAACCAACAATCAAATAATTTTGCGGACCGTTTACAACTGTATTCGGGCCGTCTAATCTTAAAAATTCTACACCGTTTCTTTGTAATACCATATCATTATCACCAACTGTATTTATTGTATTGATTTTAGCATTTGTTGCATTTAATGTTATTGGTGGTGCTGTTTCTACTTCATTATTTCTTAAATAAAGAAAGTCAATAAAATTTCTTTTGAAACTGACATCGGCATTGCCTACACTGTCATAAGTGTTAGACCTTAAACTGACTGTATCACTAATATCCACTGTTGCACTTGTGCTAAATTTCATGTATTCAATACCGTTTCTTTGGAAAATTAAATCAGTATCAGTATAAGAATTTATTAGGTTGCTCTGCAACCCCAATGCATTAGTGCATTTTATAACTCTATATGAAACAACTTCACTGTTGTATATTTCAAACCTTCTATATTGAGCAAAATTGCTTGGACCACCCATACTAAATTTAAATGTTTGTGATGTTGTTCCTTGAAATTCCATAGAACCATTTATTATCTGTCCTGTTTCTCCTGTTTTCTTGACATAATTACTATCATCAATGGTTCCTCCTCCTATTTCTGGCGATGTTGGCTTATGAAAGGTGATTAAATTATTTTGTAATGTCATAACTAGATTAGCTGTTGTATCTGGTGTTATTGGACTACCTACATAAAATTTTATCTGTCCTGTATTATCGTTCATAATACCACTCCTACTATCAAAATTATCGCAAGTTATAACGTTGTTGCATTCAGTATTTGTATTCAATACTGTTTTACCATCTTGCAATTCTACCATACTAACATTATCACGCTTCAATACTAAGTCTAATGGTGCTATTGTGTCTATCTCTTGTGTTTTTAAATTACTTCCACATTGAATAACTTTGTTAGCTACTATCCTATCGTCAGTTTTCAATTCTAAGAAACTACCACCACTTACTTTTAAAATCATATCCAATGGCGCTATTGTGTCTATCTCCTGCGTTTTAAGATTGCCACCGCATTGTATGACTTTATTTGCTATAATCCTGTCATCGCTTTTTAATTCCAATACATCCTCATTGTTCTGTTTTAATATCATATCAACGTCCCCTATTGTATCCATTGAATGGACATTCAGATTTCCATTACACGTGACATTTCCAGCATCAACGTTTTTTATTAACCTAAAACAGTCATCGGCATAATCAAATTGTGCATAAGCTACGTTGTTGGACTGAAAGAAAATGTCATTTGTATTGAGCGCATTTATTATATTTGTTTGAATGCTTTGAACATTAATATAGCCCGTGCTGTCCAACGATGAAACTGTGAGATTGCCTAATACCTGAGCATCACCATTCACATAAAAGTCTCTGCCATTACTACCAACTGCATTCAATATAATCTTTGAAAGACCATCTACACTACCTAACCTAAGAGTTCCTGACACATCTTGCGGATTATTAATATTAAGTTTTGTATCTAAGATTGTATTTACTGCTGTGATGTTATATTTAGTATCTAATAAATCATTTGTTTGCGTAATACTGTATTTAGTATCTAATAAATCATTTGTTTGCGTAATACTGTATTTAGTATCTAATAAATCATTTGTTTGCGTAATACTGTATGTAGTATCTAGTAGTGTGTTTGTTTGGGTTAAGTTATAGTATCCTGATAAATCAGTTGTTGATGTTCCACCGCCTCCACCTAATGCTACCTGTTCCAGAACATAGTCCTCAGTTGCTAAATTAGAAGTTCCCGTGTTCAATAGCTTTATGAAGTCTGTTCCAATATATCTTGTTGAGCCATCAAGACTAACCATTTACAATATAATTATCAAAAGAAAATATTTTTTCTTGATAATTGTAGATTATATTTATTAATTATCGTTTTTTGGTTCGTGGGGCGAACATACCTTGGCATATCTTATTGTATCTTTCCTGTTTCTGTTGCATCATCTGCTGTTGTAATAATTGGTATTGTTGAGCTAAGGTGCTGACTGGGTTAACTGGCTGAGATACTTGTTGCTTGATTTTTTTCTTGGTTACTGGTTGTAGCACT